TTAATTGTAAATCGTAATTTTCCGAGATCAAATGTGTATGATGTTTTTCATTAATACTCTGAAACACTTTATGTTTTTTGGTTACAACTAAAACCTCATTTAAAATATTAATTTTTATTGAAGAGTCTAAAAGAATATTTGCCTGAATATTTTGCTGAATAATTTTTACTTACAAATGGAAAGTAAGTCCACAAGTTTTAAACTTTGTCACGGAGCACGTCGCGCAACTAACCATTATTAATATATTTTAATTAATAATCACTAATGGACGACAGGCGAAAGATACGCGACGACTTCAAGACATGGATCAAGACATGGATCCATGAATGCGTTTGGAAACCAGCATTGCTATCTGCGCTATTGCGTCATTTTATCTTTGTTTTACATATAATGAGTGATAAAGATAGAATGATACAACAGCAACCATAGATGAAGAAAAGATATAGAAAAATATTCGGTATATATCGACTGCAGCGCTCCTTACGGTAGAAAGCGCGTTATAGGCGGTCTCTCATGACGTAACTTCCGATTACAGAATTTGTACCCCCACCACTGCAATGCTCTCTCCAGTCCTCCATGACGAAAGTACTTGCGTGACAAGCAATTTGTTGTTTTCTGCGCATTTTATCAACACCGCTCCGCGGAAAACGATGAGTATAAAAGCTGGGTCCAAAAGCGAAGAGATCAGATCCGCCTGATCTCCGAATCTTGCGAGAAGCACCTGGGAAAGCTCTTCCTCGGTCGGGCAAACCGACGGCGACTCATGATTCGATTCTCACCGGGAGAAAACGCTATTTTCTCTCCGCCGGGTAAACCGGCATCCTTTCCGCTCCGTTCCGGGGAATCTCGCATTCTCCACTGGGTAAACCGGCATTCTTTCCGCTCCGCTCCGGGGAATCTCGTATTCTCCGCCGGGTAAACCGGCATCCGTCCCGCTCCGCTCAGGAAAATTTTGCAATCTCCTCCGGGTAAACCAGCATTCCTTCCGGGGAATCTCGCATTCTCCGCCGGGTAAACCGGCATCCGTTCCGCTCCGCTCCGGGGAATCTCGCATTCTCCGCCGGGCAAACCAGCATTCCTTCCGGGGAATCTTGTATTCTCCGCCGAGCAAACCGGCTTTCCGTTCGATCCGCTCCAGGGGAATCTCATATTCTCCGCCAGGCAAACCAGCTTTCTGTTCGATCCGCTCCAGGAGAATCTCGTATTCTCCGCCGGGTAAACCAGCTTTCTGTTCGATCCGCTTAATCGAACCCTGATCCCGTCGAGCTATTCCGCAGCTTAATAAATTTAACTAAATACAACAGAATACGTCTCGACAAAAAAGTCGAACCGTTACATTTATAAAAATTTAAACATTAAAAACTTTGCAACTTATCGGGCAACGTTTCTCATACGTTTCAACGAAATCGGACCGAAAGTTAAAAAGCGGACATTTCGACGTTTCTGCTACGTTACTACGACGGTTTAGAAACGTTTAACGAAACGTTGCTAAGTTTCGGAAAACCCGTTGCAGAAACGTTTGCGGTACTTACGATGCTATGTAGGTAGAAATAGAAGTTAAATGTACTATATACAATGACAAAAAATAAAATATAACATATAAATACAGAAAGTATGTCATGGTTGCATAATATACAGCCTATATTTATATACATTTATATGTTATATTTTATGTTTTTGCATTGTGCATTACATTTAACCTCTGTTTTTAATTTCTATTCCTAATAATTGTTCTATTTTGCTCAACTCTTATATTGAATAATACCGCGCGTGAAATATAAATTTAAGGGCCATTCTACAATGAGTTGAAAATGTCCCGTCGCCAGTTGCAACTAGGGAAAAAGTATTATTTTACGCGCTGCGGTTGCCAGTTGCTGTTGACAAAAGTTAAAAGTTGACCAACTCTCTTTTAGCAACTGCAACGACAAAGCGCAACCAGAAATAATACTTTTCTTTTCGTAATTGCTACCTTTCTTTTGCAACTGGCAATGGGACATTTTCAACTCATTGTAGAATGACCCTAAGATATCTTATTGGTTCCGCCATATTTTGTCACAACCAATAAGATTGAAGACAACTGTGTCCAGACTCAAGCCTTTTGCACAATGCGAGGGAATAGTGATAGCGATAAGCAATAGACACAGAATTCCAACTCGTCGGAAATTTTATCGCTATTGCTTATTCTGTTTTCTGATCTGCATTGATACATGTGTATTTTTGTATGTTAGATTCCGCTGTTCCTACCGTTATTTATGAATATAAACTCTTTAAAACTGGTGTTATTTCTATCGCTATCGCTATTCCGTCCATTGTGCAAGGGGCTTCATAGAGGCTTTGCACAATGGACGGAATAGCGATAGCGATAGAAATAACAAAAGTTTTAAAGAGTTTATATTTAAAAATAAAGGTAAGAACAGCGGAATCTAACATACAAAAATACACATGTATCAATGCAGATCAGAAAATCGGAATAAGCAATAGCGATAAAATTTCCGACGAGTTGGAATTCTGTGTTAAAAACTGTGTTATTTCTATCGCTATCGCTATTCCTTCCATTGTGCAAGGGGCTATACTACAGGGACTCTAACATAGAATGGCGTATGGACTAGCATAAATGGTCCATTGAGCCACAACTGCACCAAACCAAACCACCAAGCGTTATGTCACCTTAAATTATAGGTTATAACAAGTTTTAAAATTGTGTAGTGTATATAAAAATAATAAATGTAAATGTGTGTGACTTTTGTATTTTGTACTCAAACGTGAATTACATTTTAAGAGATTTGTTTTCTGATGAGTAGATATCGATATGGCGTCCTTGTATTTGGTTTTGCGACGCGGTATCTCAACAACATGCGTTTGCAATGGTAAACGGAATTTTCGTAAATTCCTTTTGTATGGTAAACGTGGTAGTCGTAACTTTAAGGCACAACAGAGCAAGAATCCGGATCCAGATATACCAATAGATAGTATGTTACTGTTATTATATGAAATATTATTAAGTACACATATAGTTATTTAGTTTAGACAAGAGAAAGTAATCAATAATCAACTAAACTTGCAAAATAGAATGAAGATATCACATAATATGTCTGTATCTATTAATTATTTGATGTAAATTACAGAAAGAGGCGTACGAAATACTGGATACAAAGTAGGTGATAAGTGGGTTCATGTACCCGAAATGATTCCTGAATTGATTGTACCTTCATTGGAAGGATTCACATTAAAGCCATATGTGTCATATAAAGTAGACCAGTTTACAGAACCTGAATTTACTCCTCAACAATTGTTTGATGCAGTATATGCTAAGAAAATAGAAGATGATTTTGCAAATAGTCAGTTAGATGAAAATGGACAGCCATTAAATCCTAGTGAGTATGAAAAACTTACTCCTCAACAAGCTAAGGATAATGCTGGGAAAACAGGTTGTGATCTTTTTGAAGAGGGTTTGACAAAATCATTTTAGATTTCTAGTTAAGTATAAGTTTTTTAGTAGATGTATATTTCATCACAATAAAGAATTCTTTCAAAAAGCTTTAAACACATTATGGGTTTAAACCTGCTTTATGTTTTATTTAGAACTTGCATGTGTGAATATATGTATGTATGTATATGTATATGTATATACACACACACACATGTATGTTGACATTTTGCAATTTACAAAAAGTAACTACTCTTACTATTATATGACTGTTAAAGTGATATTATGTGCGCACTCTTCTCTCTTTTCTGAGAGCATAGAAATGTAATTTGTTAACTTGTACACACACATATATAAGCAATCATCTCTCAGGTTTGGTTTTATTTTGACAAATTATTCGGATGTAAGTCAGTGCTTGATAGCAAATTTATCTTCACAAAATAACTAGTTAGATCAAACATTATACGTATTGTATAAAAACAATAGCTTATATACTTATAAGAAAATGTATGTCGCATATAATGATTAAATTCTCTGTAAAATTTGGAAACTTAGTTGAGTTTTAACAAACATAAAATTAAATTATTGCTGATAAAACGTGAACGTTATGAGCTTAGACAAAATGGAAATGTAACAATGCTGAAATTGATTTTCAATGAGAAGATATAGATATCTTCATAGATATCTTGCAATGATGTCCATTTGTGAATATTGGAATTTGTTTGCAATTAAACGAACTTAAATACGTTACGGTATTTGTTAAAAAGATTTTTGAGCGAAGTTTGATTGTTTTTTAATAAGATAAGAAACGGCGAACAATTGAAATAGTAAAGTCGTTGTCAGTTGTGCGCGGCCGGTATTGCTTGCTATTCTATGTTACTAGATTTTTATAATATATGAATGTATATATATGTATATACTGTTTTTTATAAAGTGCTGTATTCATATCAAACATACAAATAGTCTTGTAATAATTATTGTTTCCATTTCAATGTCTTTTAACAATTATAATCATGTAAGAGAAGCTCATAAAACAGAGCTGTTTAAATAGAAAATATGCTATTTGTAGAAGAAATCATATTTAGAATATTAATATGTGAATGCTCATAAAGATATACTTGTATAAAAGTAGTGCAACTGTTAATGTGGTGATTTATAAATGTTTCTAAAGAGATAACATATAAAATGTGTAGTCAACTTATTTCTATATAGGTAAAAATTGATCCACATAAATAATTTATTTAAATATCTTTACAGAATGCAGCACTTCTTACACATTACTATTTATCGCTAATGTTATTGTTTTTCGTTATTATTATTTTCTATTTTCTATAGTCATACACCATAATTTTGAAGAATGAAAGAGGGAAACATTTCTCTAATTTTGTACACTAGAAAGTTTATTAAAAGAATGTAACAAAAATCTTGCAGTTTGCATCATGTTTCCACTCTTTGATTAAATCATCACAAAAAGCATAAGTGGCATAGTACTTGTAGTTCGCTATGTGAAGAATTTTATTTTTACTTCAGTCATATTCTCTATATTTGTTATTCCTTATTTCATTTTTTATTGCCTTACTCTATAACATATTTATAATATCTCGTTAACAACTTGAGCATTCATATTTCTCACTCATTGGCAGTAAAGTGTATTTTCTTTAAAGACTTATATCGCGTAAATTCGGTGTATATCTTGTTATTCGTTTTATACATATGAGCATAAAAATGAACAAGTTTAAGATTTCTACTCCGCGAACTTGTTAATTTTTAAATTTTCATGTAACATTTAAAACTCCCGCAACTCTTTTGTTTATCCTCTAATAGCGAATGTGTTATTGAAGCAAGTCTTATGCCACTTGTTCTTCAAATAAATTTGGTGTTTCATCTTGTTAATTATCAGTCTATGATATAATTGGATATTTGACTGGTAAAGAATCAGTCATTTTAATAAGGCAGTTACACATGTTGCTGTATGACAAAGATTTCTCTGCACGAAAATTGTGTCAAGTCACGCGCATCGCTCATGAAGAGAGAGAAATATACATTACGATACAATGATAGAACTTTGTAAAATGACATTTGTATAAAGTTTTATATGTGTACATATGTATAAATAAATTTTTCTGACAATATTTTAGAGCAAATAAAAATACAAAAGAAAGTAATATTCTTTCTTTGGTAACATTTTTAGACCGATATTTCAGACCACTTAAAAAATATAATATATATAAATCTTTAACATTCAGTAACATGTGTGTGTACCATACATCTAACCAGAGATCTTGAGTATGTAAAGAAGTGTATATATCGCTATACACACATATATCACGAATATAAATGTTATAAAATTCTTTATATATTAATATCCCTTAACATATTTTTCTATATGCAACGCAAAATGATATGCAACTATGTTACTAAAAAGTCAACGTGGAAAGACTTAAGGAGAGAATACTGCTTGAGAGTTTGATATTAACAGTCTAACTGGCTTTTCATACGCAAGATCTCGAGAGAACTAACTAACAACGATAGGGCAGTTTATTCCATCGGATCTCCTACGTTTTCGAAGATAGTCGAGTGCGGATTGCTGGTAGTGGGCCACAAGAAACCACCTACACTGCCCGGTGGCAAATAAGATGCACCTCCACTAAGGCCAACCTAATGTTTTATAGTTCATCAGTTATTTAATATTTGACATCATTTATATTTTTTTCATATCTATATGTATATAACACTTGGACAAAATGTGCTAAGCAAACTGATATGGAAACAAATTTTCAGAAGAATAAACGCACCCCAATGTAGATGTTTTATAAATTTTGTATAGAACAATAACAAGTACAAAAAAAGTAATTAATTACTTAAGGCGAGAAATGATATAGAATGTACGATTTTTGAAGATGTATAGCTTTATATTTTTTCTTCTCAAAAATATATTTTTAATCCTCGAACTTATAAAATACGCAACAAATTTTGATAATATCTGTTCGATATCATGTGCACAAATGTAAAGTAATTCTCGAATTAATCATTTGAAGTAGCGGTACTGTTTCGTAGCTGTCACTCGCGGTTGAGAGAAATAGTTAAGTTATCACACTTGAATTCTCAATTTTCACACTATATATTTTCACTATGACTGAGTTTGTTAGTTTTTGCATTTCTGAGAATCACATGATAATATTAACTTGTATAAAAACACTAAAATATAAAGCTATGTATGTCGCAAGAATCGTGCGCGCTATCATTTTTCGTTCTTGACGTCATTAAAGCCAATATCGCTACGACAAAAGTAGCCGAGCTCTAATTATTCTGACATAACGAGCATAATTTTGTCAAAATCAAAATCAACATTTTTATTCTAATAATACGCATGTGTATTACTAGAATGTTAATTTTTTCTAAGTAAAACTACAATTCAAATAAAATCTATATATAACTAATTTTTCTAATTAGGTATCTATCTAAAACGTGTGTAAATTAAATTTAAACGGGTAAGATATAATTATAGGGTTGGTTCATGCAGTAAGGCAAATTAGAACAAGAAATAACTGCCGAATTAAATAAAAATAATCATTTATTTGCATTTAACATAAATAATTGTGCTAATAAATCGCAGGTACTAAATAACATTGTAGATACTAAATAACATTTTATATGTACATTGGCTCTCACTATTGTAAATGTAAAAATAACAATATCAAGACAATCAATAAAATCTTATTTTTTATATTAAGTGAACTATGTACAAGAATTTGTCAGTGTTATTACGTTGATTACTTTATTTTTTTCTCTAGATAAAGAATATCAAAATCACAGTTCAATAATAAGAAGCGCTCTAAAAACGGCTGTACATGACGCTTCAACGCGGTTGCTATTTATTTTTATACATCGTAACTTCTTTATGAATTTACCTGCTGGCTCCATATTAGCGATCTCTCCGCCAACTGGCAATCCGCAGCCAGTCTTGATGGTAGACTCTTCCACCTCTCCTCGTCTCTCTTTCTATCTCTGTCGAAGTCCCTGTCGACATGTCCCTGAGAGAGAGGTGGCAAGATTTGCGTTCGTTGTGCCAATTTGTAGCTATCTTGTCTAGGTACGTGATCGGAACGTCTGCTTGTGCTGCCGCTAGTCGAGACTGGAATCGAAGTCGGACTGCCGCCCCCTCTGTGCCGGTGATACAAATTACGTTTTTGCTGTAACATACGTTGCTGTACTAGAAGTTGTAGCTGCGTGCCCGAGTCTCCGCGCATTTTAAATTGCTGATTATCAGGCGGTGTGGACGGTGGTCTAAGATGGACTAGATCTAAGTGACCTCGAGCTTTTCCGGAATCTGAAAGCAATCGGTCATTGTATTATCTCAAGCAGTATTAAAAAAGAAATTATTACGAAAAGATGCAAACTCGACGCACCTTGAATACTCCTTTGCTTAGACGGTCTGTCGCCGACACCACCTTGCTGGCAGAATAGTAATCTAGGTCCACCGTCAGACGCTCTTCTTCCTTGAGAGACTCGGGATATTCTTCCAGTTATAGGGGATGGACTCTTGGGCGGCGGTGGTGTGCAAGAGGGCAGGCTGCTCGTGAAACAATTCGTTCCTGTGTAGTCTGGCGGACAACCAGAATCAAAACTAGACTCGAAGAGTTCTGATGATGAGCTACCGCTACCGGCCGCCATGAATAAAGTTGTTCGACTGGGTGGATCAATAGGATCCATAAGCGGATTATCAAAATGATGTTGGTAATCGCTTAATCTTCGATTGACTATCTGACTGTCAATTCGTTGACTGATATCGTGATCTAGGCCTAATCTGTGCTCTTCGAGTTTGATCTGTGCTTCGCGGAGTTCATCGCCGCTCGGACCCTCTTCTAAATCGCCTTCTGCGCTGCAACAACCTTCATCAGTTGAAGAACTGGTCGAGCTAAATCTCTTATTTCCTCTGCCGGTATCTTCTCTTCCTCTAAAACAGAGAAGAGAGATTCTTTTGACGATTGAAACAAAAGTTTTTTCCGTTAATAGTTGTTTTTTCTCTATAGCAAATGAGTACTTATGAGTAGATGATTTATGCAGAGCAATGAATTCAAGAAGTATTCATCAAGCATTCTCCTCGTCATTTCATCTCTATTCACGTTAGCTTTAAAAAAGACTTGTTTATGTCAAAGAAAAACAAAATTTGTTTATATTAAATAAACATCAATTATCACAGGTTTAATCTTACTAATCCTACTATAGTATATGTGCTATGATGCTTTAAATTGGTATAAGTACAGCAAACAAATGCAGAGATTTTCAGAATATAAATAAAATATAAGCAGAGAATTAGATTAAAATGCGTACGCACAAAATTAATATAAAAAAATACATATAAAATCATACAAAATATTTAAAAAATATGGATTTAATGAATAATGTATTTTTATACGGATAATAAATAAAGCGAACTAAAACTAATGATTAGAAATAAAGGTTTACAGCAAATAAAAAAGAAAATGAAATGAGGAGTTACCAAAAATAAAGCGACAGCAATGTGCTTCCAATCCAACCTGTCCTGATAAAATCCTCAATATGTGCGTCACCCATCAATAAAGTTCAACGTCCCACTAAGCTATCGCTGCAAATAAAAATTGATTAAATTAAGGATTTCTTTTTCTATTTTGTTTTCTGACTGGTAGGATTGGAAGATATTCTACAACTAACATGGAGGTGATATGTGAAATGCAGTTTTTAAAAAAAAGATACATGTGACAGTGCCTTTAATAACTAATGAATACCTTGATTTAAATTTATCTTCTTTTGTTCTCGCAACAGTGGACCAGCAAGTATTATTAATGGTGCTGCTTACACGATGTTGTTTCAATCTTTCCAGCAGTAAGAAATAAATAGCAGCATGATGGTCATAGCTGCTGTTTCGTAAGGACTGTTAAAAAATGTATCTATATTTATATGATGCAAAATAAATAAATTATATTGAATCGTTAAGTATAAAACTTGACAAAAATATGTACATATACATATATTTGTCAAGTGTCATATTTGATGACTCAATATATATCGAAATAATTTATTATACATTTTAAAAATTTAATTAAAAAATAAACACAATGCTGTCGCTTATTTTCAGAATTGTATATGTACAGTAAAAAAATAAGATATATTATTTTTAAAAATAAAATATTTTAAACAGATAGACATGTATTCACGGAGAACAACAACGGAAAAATGTACTCTTACCTCTCTAGTACGGCTAATGTCTATTCCTAAACTGTGCATCAGTCGAAGTATTTGTTCATTTGGTTCTTGAATAGATGACGATGGCCGTGTGACGATTACCGAACAAATGCTGTCTGCTGTTCCCGCCATCCAACGGTGTCTCTTGATTTGTGGAATGGTGTATCGTTTGGAAGGCTCCAGTACTAACATCTTGCGTATTAGGCTCTCGCAATCTGTAATGTGAATTTTCGTATTGTTAGCAAACGTTTGATTTAACAAGCAAACGTCAGATGCGAAAAAATGTATGTAAATAAACACCTGTACTCATAAAATAAGGAATTCTAAATCTGCCGCTTAGCACGCGATCTCTTAATGACTGAAGAGTTGATCCATCAAAGGGCAGTGCACCACATACTAACACATATAACACAACACCCAAACTCTACAAGAAAGAGAATATTTATATCAAATAAAATGCATTTAAAGTAGATTTTTTTTTTTATCTTATCATTTTTATATATATGAAACTTACCCACACATCAATCTCAGGTCCGGCGTAGTGCTTTCCTCGAAAAACCTCGGGAGCGGCGTAAGGAGGACTGCCACACCACGTGCTCAATCGTTCACCCGGTGCGAATCGATTGCTGAAACCGAAATCGGCAATTTTCACGTTCATCTGAGCATCGAGGAGCAAATTCTCTGCCTTCAGATCGCGATGCGCTACACCCGTCACATGACAATACTCGACCGCGGAAAGTATCTGCGCGAATGTCGCGCGTGCTCTGGGCTCTCCCATTCTTCCATACCGCGCTATGTAGTCGAATATCTCGCCTTTGCTCGCGTACTCGCATACCTACGTACAAAACGGATCCGTGTAAAATGATTCATTCAGAAAACAGAGAAAAGTCTCGGCATAAACATTTTTACTCTACTTACCATGTATATCATATTTTTCGTTTCCATGACTTGATATAACTTAACGATATGCGGATGCTCCAACTGCTTCATTATCTCGACTTCTCTATAAACTTTTTCCAGATTAGTAGGGTCCAATTGAGTTTTGTCGATTATTTTAATAGCCACCTACGAAAACACGCCGAACACACGAAATTAACACTTTTTTTCTAGAAATATAGCGTGACAACAAGTGCGTTGATATGTACCTCTGTTTTTGTAATTCGATGTCTAGCCAATTTTACAACGGCGAAATTGCCTTTGCCGATGGTTCCCTCAATGTCATAAAATCCAACCCGGATTTGCTTCTTACCCTGTGTCGGTCCAGTATCCATATTTATAAGTATAGTTGTACAGTTAAGTGCCGTTTTTTTTTTTTTTTACTTGAAAACGCTATTTTTTCTATTTTGTGTTTCTTCAGTAATCTGTAAACATTAAAACGTGCAATTTAAAGAAAAACTGTCTTTCTAATATATACAATGTAAACTCTTTTTAGTCTTATGTATAAAAATTGCACTATTAATATATTCAATCATTTTATTTAACTCATTAATACAGAGTGATTATTAGTATATGTGAAAGAGTAACTCTGTAATAAAAATCTAAAACTAACAGAAAGTTGACAAAAAAAAACTACATTATATTTTTGAAGAAAAAAGTCAATTCAGAAATAAGGGAAATATTATGTTTTCTATTATATACAAAACTGTAGAGATAAATAATGTAAAAATGTCTTAGTCATATCATTACTTATTATTCATCTATTCGAATTTTAAAGACACGTCTTTTGTAAAAATGCAAATTGTTAAATTTTCTACATAGCCCCTTACATAACTTTTTGCTATACTTTTAATATATAGGTATCATATATAGCTTTTTTTACATATCCTGCCTACGTAAGCAATTACGTACGCGCGAGCGCCAATGAAAAATTTATAAAGACTTCTGCTTCGAATAGCTCGATGAAGTTTTCAGCTTTTAAATTGTATCCGTACTGTTATATGTGTAAGTTTATATAAATATAAATTTTCAGCTTTGTGTCACCTCCCGAATTCCGAGGTATCATCCAACGCGCTATCGGCGAATATCGTCTATATATACATACAACTTACGATAATTACTTATCGCGCATTCAGCACTGACGCAAGTTTACTGATTCAACATTGAAGCGAATACGCGATTGTATCCGGAAGGACATCGGCACCGCGGATAAGAGAAAGAAAACGACAACGAGTATGCAAAAGAAAAAGAGAAAGAGGACGGGAGCGACGGACGATTTCAAGGAAAGCGCGCGTCAAGGATTCGCACCGTTTGACAGAGTACAAAGGCCCACCCGCAACAAGTACAATAGAAATCCTCGACTGACGTCACGCAGATCGACAACGACTTCCTACCTATTGAGAGAGAGAGAGAGAGAGAGAGAGAGAACGAGTGAGAGAGAGAGAGAGAGAGAAAGAAAGAGAGAGAGAGAGAGAGACACTGCCGATCGATCGCCGTCGATAGGTACTCCTCGATTAGGGAAACTCGCATAGGTCGCCGACGAACTAGTCGTTTAGACGAAAATGCGTCTCTCAGTCTACAGTACGTCAAATCTCATGTCGTAGATTTGTTTGAAGTGAAAACAAAAGAATTGATCGTATTTTCCGACACTTACCTCTCTCTTGGCTCGGAAATTACCGGTTGTTGGCCGCGACGATAAAGGTCGTTCGGCAAACGCCGACTTCTATGAGACAATCGACACTGACAACGACGGTGTGGAGATGCTCCGGAACTGCACGAAAAGGCCAGGAGGAAGCCATCGGTGACTACGGACACGGTCGTGGCGCGCGCGCCTGTCAGTAGATTTATTCGGAGAGAAGAAGCTCCAGTGTCTCGTCCGCCGCCTCTTCGGAGCAGAACGGAGCGGAATGAGACGGGAGCTCTCTTGTGTCTACACGCGCGCCAGTCAGCGTAGAACCTCCGCACAGCGCGGCGGTTCGATACCAACTGACCGGCGGCCATGTTGCCACCCCCCGTGCTGCTTCGGCAGTTGGCTCGCGGTGTCGGCGCCCTCAGCCCTCTCGTCGTCCCCGCCTACGTCGTTGCCCGGCCATTCTTAGCCAAATCACCCCTCTCTCTTGTCGCATTCTCCCTTTTCTCCTCTCCACCCTTTTTCGCTCACACGCGACGCGCTCCCCTCGTCTGTCTTTCTCTCTCTCTTCTATCCGTCACTCCGTTTCAACGTAACCTACCTACGTACGTGCACTCAACGCCCACTACTCTGCCGATTACTATCGCTCGTGCTCGCTCGCGCGCGCGCGCGCGCGTGCTCGCACGAGCGCCGTTATCTTCGGCAATTGACGTCACGCACATACATACGAACCCCGACGTCCGTCTCATCGTTAATTGTTTCTCGATGTAATTGCACGGCAAGTAGCGCGCCGCGCGCTAGCACGTGACGCGATGACGATCAGGTTCGTAACTATATGCACAATTCTGACTCGCACATTGAATATTTTGGTGTATGATAAAAAATAGTATCGCATTTTATAATTTAAACTCTGCGATCAAAATATTCTTTCTTCTTACTTAACGTAACGCGCGTACATACGGCTTAATATCTTGTTTTTGTTTTTTATTGTTTTTATCGAGTTTAATATTGAGTATCAAAAAATACATTCAGACGATGAGTTAAATATAATTCTCATAGGAGAATAATAACAAAATATTATGTATATATATATATTTATATATATGCATATGTATATTGCGTGAGATTGTAATCGGATATGACGTTTCCGACGTTCTGAGTCGTTTACAGCGAAAAACCGCGCGCTGTCGAGAAAGAGAAAAGTGAACTTTCTCGAGCCGAATAATGAGACGCGATATATGTGTATTCCCGAGCAACGGTCTTATATATATGTTTTTGCTAATCTCCGCTCTTGGCCTCGTCGTTTCGCTCTCAAGTCAAACGATTCTCTTCTTATTTATCTCTCGTCCGTTGAGGAGTCTTCGTATGATCAATGGTTATTGCTAATCAAGAAGTAGTTACTCAGCAAACTCAGTTTCGCGATGACTGTTATTTAAATCATAATAAGACAAAATTGCGCGAAGAATTTTGCTGGGATTCTGACATTGTTTTGTTTACAATTGCTTTTAGTGTGTAATTTTAAGTAAAATGCAGGTCTATTTTAATTCGTGCAAACATGATGCAAAACACAGATACAAAAATACATAAATATAGCTCAAAGCTAAGTTTTTCTTTTGATGAAATCACAGAAAGATGTCATCTGCTCGGAATAAAAATAGAATTTTAATTAGGAACAGGTAAAATTTTAATTGAGATATACGAGAATATAGATTGGAGAATATATTTTGCTGCTAAATATATACCTAGTACAATATTTAATATACATTATTAGTATGAATTGACAAAAGTGTAAAAGAAATTCATATTGATGAGTCTGCGCTGAAAATAATAGCATCGTTGGTTCTCTCTTGAGAGTTTTAGCATTCCTTCAATTCTCTCCATACTGAATAATAGGGTAAGAGGAAACACAAAGAGGATAATAGGGTAAGAATATTTTGATTTGAAACGAGCATGATCCAATTGACATTATGATCTTTGTGTTCGTTACTTGTGTCGGCATCTAGTTAATATAGATTTAAACACACGTAAATGTTATTTTCTTACTTATGACGAAAACATCGCTTTAATGTGTCCATAATAGTTCAGATTCATTCGAAATTCACACGATGCTTAAAGGACACTCGAAGAATATTAATTACGCGTTTATTACGCACACACACACACACACACACACACATGGATTTATTCTTCATATACATCTACACTGCGTACACATCTTGTTACACAGGTCATACTTGAGACGTTCTCTTCCTTCTCGAGCGGAACATCCTTCAGAACCTTCATGGTCGGATGAATCGATAATAGGTACGCAAGGTCGGGAAAGAGAAAGCAGTTTTTTTTGTCACGAGTAAGATCGTTCGCAAGCTCGAGCAACGATGATGAAGCAATGTGAACGTACTGCAAAAAATTCTTTTCAATTTTACATACAGTTTCTCTTTACGTCGTTGCGTTCTCCCTTCTCTCTTGAACAAGTCCTTCGCAGCTCACGTACTTACTTCGGCTTGTAGGCGGACTTGATTTCGCGCTCGCACGCGGGCAACTTCGGTACGTCGGTAAATCGATAATATATCGAAAAGAAAATCTGTCGACTTTTGACGCTACCCGAAGTTTCGCGCAAAAGCAGCACAAAAAGAGATGGCCAGGATAGAGAGATCTGTCCCACTTCTATTTCCTCCGAGACTTCTGCTGCTATATACAATACAATACATATATACATATATATATATGTGCCATCGCGAACGTACCAAAACAAAACCGACGCGGAAAATTTGACACGTAAAAAGTATGCGTATGTAAAATTTGAAATTGATAAAAAAGGGAGAGAGAGATGTGTCTTTAGGTATATAAAAAAGTAGATAAAAGAAATATAGCACATGTATCGTATCATTTAATTATATAATAATAATTTACGCTTAATTACGACAATTTTTACTGAAAAATTGGACAGAAGAGAAGTAGAAAAAAAGAGAGAGAAAAAAACATCAAAAAAATTTCACTTGTAAGATATTGGAAAAGATATTAATGAGTTTGTTGCTGCTCCGCTCGGTTTAATTGCGCTTGTTTTGTAATCAGAGTAATTCAAGAAAAGAAACCGCGTATGTCCAAGAATAACGTGCGCTTGTCATCTATACAACAGGTTCGGCTTTCATCATTGCATTATGCAATTGAAACATCGTTATTTGTGTTCTTTTTCACCGCGTTATTTAACAAATCGCTTTTGCTTTCCTCTTACGTGATGATTATTAAACTTTTATTTTCTCGCGACAACCTTCATCATGCTTCCAAGATAACGGAACAGAATAATATTGATCGACGAGATAAAATCTTCTTGCATATGTAGATAATAAATAACTATGATTAGAAAACAACATCCGTTATAATATTAGTAAAAGAAACTGTGAGTGTGGTTTCTTTATGGTTTTATTTGTGAGATCACAGTGAGATAAGAAAGCGAGAAGATAGTTACATCAATCGTAAAGCTATACGATGCGTTAAAATGTAAACTGTTCCGGCTGTCAATATTTACACAATAAGATATTAATTACCGGTCTACTAACTTGGATATAATGAGCGTGTCTCTCTCTCTCTCTCTCTCTCTCTTCCTCTCCATTTTTCAACTTTGTTCGCGCGGAAGAGTTTAACAGATCTTTTTCTTCTTAAACAAAGAACAAAATAAAAAACGGTTGAAAATTCTCAGTATTCACTGTGTCTGGTGCAAGCAACGTTGCTTGCACCAGACATCGTGTATCGCGTGCTCTTGTGACCCAAAGCTATTATGTCAGCAATGACGCACACGTAAATTACGACCTTTTATATCGACGATACTACGGTTGATATTGAACTTAAAAGATTACAGCGCGGATTGCTATTTTTGTTTCGGCGTGTGCAATTTATGTTTTATTACGCAAACAGTAACTTACGCACGCATACATCACGTATATACGCGTATACGCATGTGCACATTTTATACTCTTCTCAAAGTAATTACTTCACCATCACAGCCATCTTAAATCTTACTGTATAAATTTTTTTTTTTTCAAGAAAAAGAAAATTGTTTTAATGAAAAATATTGAAAGTATATAACGGAAAGATTTCTCTTCGAATCAGAGAAAAACAAGTTTTTTTTTAACGGTAACAAAAGAAATATATACTTCAACGGTAATAAAAGAAATATTCACAAATATTAGTTTTGAGACACTCGATATATATCTGTACACGTATAGACACGTATAAAACAATAGCTGACAGAATTAATAGATGTATAAATGATTCTTGCGAATGACTTCTCTGTCATTCGATTTTGAATCGGCCTTGCCATCGGACGAGTTGTTCGAAAAGAATGAATAAAATATGTAGCACACAACACACACATATACAACGGTTTGTTTTATAATTCAACATACTGTGTGTGTGTGTGCTCTCCTCTCTTTCTCTCAGTTGTGACGAGCGTCATTGGACGTCTTGCATCGACGTATCTTTTGCGCAAATACGTCCGGAGTGCGTCATGATGAAAACCTACCGAAGTTTGCAAAGCGCGGACGGTTACGCCGAAAATGACGACGAGCGAAAAAAACCAGAAATTCACAGAATTGTGACGTTCGCAAGCAAACTTCCTTATACGATTACATTATTGTGATTTAAAGAAAGAAATTAATTCTCTTTTTTTATAATAAAACTTTTTTGTTTAATTTAACTCAACTGGAGAGGTGAGGAAACTTGAGTTTTTTTTTAACAGCAAACTTTGTAATGTATTTAATAAGATTTCATTTGTACGAATTCTTACGTTTCTTTTTTTAATATGTGATACTTCATTTTTTTGCGAACAATAAAAAAAATAGAAACGAGTTATCAGTTTGCAAATCAAAATGCAAATTGCAAATTATAGAAAATTACGACGTGTTATTATCTATCTGCATAGTATATCCATCTGCTACAAGTGTATTAGTGCAAAAACGATAGATTGTCAAGAATAATTGAAGGTCCTAATTTCTAATCCGTCTGATTTAATGTGCACGCCCATAGCCGTCACAAGAAAACAGCTTATTATTATGTAACAATCGCGGCCGTGAACGTGCTTGCCTTATGCGCGTTGCACGTCGTTACATTTTTTACGAGAACAACTCAGACTGAATGTTGCACATCGAGAGATCGCGAGCTATTGTATTTCTCATTCAGCAGCTCGCATTCTTTAACCTTTAACTGCGCTCGCACAATGTACGATATTTATTGCACATTTTATATATTCTTATTCTCATTTTTGTTTTTATCAGCACAGTTTTATTTGTGTTCTTTTTTGTCATTTTCTAGAATTATATGCATATTGAGATCAAGAATATTGTTTTG